GGCAGTCACGGTGCTGACGAGAATAGAAGTCACTAAGCGCCTTATCGTACTCACAAAATCTGGTCAACTCCCTACTGCAGTCGAGGCTCCTGCCTGCCCCCGGAGTCTTCACCTACTGGCAGCCCTCTGGGTCCCATCAGCCTCCTTCAGGTGCCAGAGCTTTGTTTCGTCTCTAGCACTGGGGCAGTGCCCTGGACTCACAGTTGAATGGATGTTTGTTAATGAACTGTTTTACAGATGCTGTTTTATACTCTGTGGCAGTGGTACTAAATGCTGTGGACTACTTTGGTAGCCTGTGCTACTGGAGGGCCTGGGGAAATGGCTCCATGGGTACACATATCGTGCACACATGAGTTGGATCCTGGGAACTCACAGAAAGGCAGATCCTTGATTCCATAAAGTTGCCTTGTGAGTCCCACAGATGCTGTAGCGTGCATGCTCCTGTAATAATGCCAGAGTGTCCACTGGTTTAACATGTGCTACAGGATCCACAGCCCCTCTTCTGTCCACCTTCCATCACGTTTTCTTTTGGTAGTATGTGTGTGTGCATGCATGCACACGTGCACCAGGTGTGTGCACACGCATGCATGTACTAGATGTTGTATGCATGGCAGATGTTGATGTCAAGTGTCTTCTGCCATTGCTTTTTTTTTTTTTTCTGAGACAGGGTTTCTGTGCTAGCTAACGTTACGTCAGCTTTTGACACAAGCTAGGGTCATTGGAGAGGGGAACCTCAATTGAGAAAATGGCTTCCTAAGATCAGGCTGCAAACAAGCCTGTGGGGCATTTTCTTAATCAGATATTGTGGGAAGGCTCAGCCCACTGTGGGTGGTGCCATCCCTGAGCTGGTGGTCCTGGGTTCTGTAAGAAAGCAGGCTGAGCAAGCTAGTAAGCAGTACCTCTTATGGCTTCTGTTTGCGTCAGCTCCTCCCTTCAGGTCCCATCCTTTTTTAAGTTCCTGCCCTGACTTCCTTTGGTGATGGGCTGTGGATGTGGAAGCATAAGCCAAATAAGCTCTTTCCTCCCTAACTTGCTTTTGGTTATGGTGTTTCATCATAGCAGTAGTAACCCTAACTAAGACAGTCTCGGCATAGCCCTAGCTATCCTGGAATGGAGCTCGCATGTAGACTGACTTCCCTCTGTCTCCCGAATCCCAGGATTAAATCAGATGTCACAGCACACTTGACATCTTACTCTTCATCTTTTCCTAGACACCTTCTCACTGAACCAGAAGTTCATTGAACCTAGCAAGAGTGACTGGCCAGGCAGCTCCAGGGATCTGTTTCTTTTCCCCATAGTCCCGACTGTGGTTTCTGCCTTGGACCTCCTCTCCCTCCAGAGGTTAGGGATCTAAGCTTGGTGCCTTTGCTTGTGGATCATGAGAAAGAGGTCTTCTGTCATATGCTGGGTGAACAGAAAGAATCCTCACAGGATTTCCAGTCCCTGTGTCGCAAGTTGTTCTTGTTCATGTTTATCCTTGGAAGCAGGCTGCTGCTCTGTGGAAAAACCAGTAGAATTGGCCTTGGCTGGAAATCAGGCGTTAAAGAGAAACAGCAGCAAGCCACTTGTGGTTTATAAGCCTGCTGGCAGTTGTGTTTTCGGGCTACTGTGTGAGCTGTGTCTCTTTCAAACCTCATCACAATGTTCTGTGTCTGACTGATGGGAAACAGGAAACAAGGAACAGGGGCATCATGGAAGGTCCTGGGTTTGATGTTTGTTTATGGAAAGTCGAGGGTCCAGACACGGAGGGCCACAGTGTGTCTGCCAGGATGATGCCTCAGGAGTCCTTATGAACACAGAAACCTGTTAACTCCTGGGGGCACTAAGAAGCCAACAGATGGTCCATTACGTTAACAACCCTAGTTTTACATCTTATTTGAGATGGTTTTCCTTTTTTCTTTTTTACTTCAAAAATGCAATTTTTTGTTCACTTGTAACTTTTGTGTCTGGAACTAGTTGCCTCTATCAAAAATTATGGGTAGCTTCTACTTCAGATTGCTCCTCAGGCCTCTGTGTTCAGCACTCATTCTGGACCACATCTCACATGAGCTTGCCCTTTGTTAGGGCTTAAGGCGCTGTTTCTGCCCTCCTACCCTGTCAGGCAGCTGCTTTTCACGTCAATAAGCATTTATTTCCGTCTGGGAGCAGGTGCTAAGGAACCACCCCCACTCCCACTTCACCTTCAGCTGTGTGGGCAGATTCCTGGGATTTCTGTGTCTGAGTACTTGGCCCTAGGCCACTAGAGAGGTGGCCAGGAAGTGCTAGGCATTAATGACCCGGCAGGGCACAGTGCATAACCTAGGAAATGGAGAAATAGGCTTTTCTTTTCCCTGTAGCATCAGCTCTTCGTAGGAAAGGACTGCGGTTGTCAAATCTGCTACTGAACTCCCGCCCCCTCTCCAGTACTCTTCCTGGTACCCCCCACCCCCCACCCCTGTTCTACAAGTAAGCCACTTAGTTTATCTCAAAGTTACTCTGGGAGCAACCCAAATCTTCTGGATTTTTGGATTCAGGGTGACTTTAAAATTTACTTATTTAGTTGGTTGGTTGGCTGGTTGGCTTTTGTTTGTTTTGTTTTGAAGACAGGGTTTCTCTGTGTAGCCCTGAGTAGGCTGTCTTGGAATGGAACTCTCACTGTAGACCAGGCTGTCCTCAAAGTCAGAGCTCTGTCTGCTTCTGCCTCCCAAGTGCTAGGATTGAAGTGTTTGTCACTGTTGAGCCATTTCTTCAATCCCCAGAGTGACTTGATTACAGTCCTTGCCCACTTTTCTTTCTCTCACTGGAAATTTGCAACTTCAGTTCCTTCATGGGGATGTTGTCACTAGAGACTTAACAGAAGTGCCTGGGTAGAGGTATGGGGAGGAAGGATTGTGTATCTACCTACAGGCTCAGCCTTTCTGAATATCTTAATCTCTGTTCCTAAAGAGAAAAGTAACAGGTGTGACCAGTTACTCTCTCTATAAAAAGCCCCAGCTGCCGCCGACTGCTGTAAACTAATCCAGAACTTCGTACTTCCAAAAGTTGTCAAATTCAGTGCTGGAAAATAACTTAAGGCGTGAGGGCTACATGCAAAACAGAACAGCTGCAAAATACTGGTTCCATGTGTGTCTGCAGGTGAGCTCTCAACACCATGATTGATATAGTTTGGTAAGAAAATAACTTGGAGAACCACGTTTGCTTCAAATAAGATAACAGTTATCAATGTCACATCAGTATCAAACAGAGATTGTGTCTCCACTGCTAAGAAGCATAGCTGGGCTCTTTGCAAAGGGACAGAGAAGCTGGGCTACACAGCTATGTCCTTCCCCGTAGATCAGTTCTGCTGGCCAATAGCAAGAGCTCCTCTGAGTGCCTCAGTTTTTAATTTCAAGAATGCTGCTCTTTTTTTTTTTTTTTTTGGTTTTTCGAGACAGGGTTTCTCTGTGTAGCCCTGGCTGTCCTGGAACTCACTCTGTAGACCAGGCTGGCCTCGAACTCAGAAATCCACCTGCCTCTGCCTCCCAAGTGCTGGGATTACAGGCATGCACCATCACTGCCTGGCAAGAATGCTGTTCTCAACAGTTTCTTTTGCTGTTGCTGGTGTGAGTTCTCTTTTGTTTGGGGATTTCTCCCTCTGGAGAACGTGTTTGACTGTTTCATTTCTCTTAAGTCATTTCTCCCTCTTTTTGAGCACTTAGTAACCTTAATATACAATTGATCCAAAACGATTTTTTTATTTTATTTAATACTACCATAAATACCAGCTAGAGTTGGTTGTTTATCTGCCTGTTATAAATTTATTGTTACTGTATGCCTTATCTGAATGTACCCAAATCTTGTGTATCTGTCTTCTAAAGCCACTAAAACATTTTATAGATATTAATGTTTTATATATACTTATTCCAAAATATGTTCAAAGAAAAAACTTGGGCTCTATGATTCTTGTCCTGTTTGATTTTTGTTAACTTGATACAAACCTAGACATATCTGAGAGTAAGGAATCTTCATTGAGAAAATGTCTCTATCAGTTTGGCCTGTAGGATGTTTTCTTGATTGATGGTTGATGTAGGAGGGCCCAACTCACTGTGGGTGGAGCCACCCCTACCTGGGCAGAGGGTCCTGACTTGTACAAGCAAGCAGAGTGAGCAAGCCAGCGAGCAGCAGAGCAGCATTCTTTCTGCTTTATAGATCCTGCCTCCACATCCCTGCCTTGACTTCCCTCAGTGATGGAGTGTGACCTGAAAGTTGTAAGCTGAAATAAACCCTTTCCTCCTCAGTCACTTGGTCATGATGTTTATCTTACCACAGCAATAGAAACACTACCATCACAATTCTCTGAGTTACCGTCCCCAGGATGTTTTTGGAAAGCATGTTTGGGCTGCAGGCTGTTCACATTTGTGCTGGAGGAGTTCTTTTCATGCCCCTTCACCTAGAGTGTCCATTCTCTGATTCCCAGTCTCTGTCCTACCCTTACTATCTTAATGCATTATGTTTTTATTTCTTAAGGATTTTATTTTTATTTTATTTTAATTGTGTTGGAGGTGCACTTGAGTACTAGTATCCACAAAAGCCAGAGGCATTAGAGTCCACTGAAGCTAGGGTTTGGGGTGGTTGTGAGTCACCTAATGTGCTAGGGCAGCAATGGTTAACCACTGAGCTTCCTCCCCAGCTCCCACCTGCATGCATGTGTGTAGCCTCAGAAGTTAGCCTTGTAATGTATTTTGTGGGGATTCTGTTGTCTGTTCTTCAAAGCCAAATTTCAAAATACACTACTGTGTTCTTATTAATGCTTCCTATTCCAGTCCCAGGGTTCTGTTTGTCTTTCAAGACCCAGTTGGTCAGTTGGCCTTGGGTATAATTTTCCTGTGCACTGGGTTTTGAGGGTTTGTTTGTATTTTTTGGTACCTATCGCTAACAGTCTCTTGTTTTTCTTAAGTACCCAGATTGTGTATTTAAGTTCTCTCTAGGTGTTCTGGACTATTTTTAAACCTTTTTCTTGTTTACTGCTTGTTTGTCTATAGATGTAAAAAAAGATTGGTCTGACCATGCTCTCTGGTGGGAAAAGAAGCGGACTTGGCTGCTTAAGACACACTGGACCTTGGATAAGTATGGTATCCAGGCAGACGCCAAGCTTCAGTTCACCCCACAGCACAAACTGCTCCGCCTGCAGCTTCCCAACATGAAGTATGTGAAGGTGAAAGTGAACTTCTCTGACCGAGTCTTCAAAGCTGTGTCTGACATCTGCAAGACTTTCAGTAAGTGGCCGGCACTTAGCATTGAGCTTATCCTAAGGGTATGTGGGTTTGGACCCTATGTGCATCTGTATTTGAAATTATTATTTATAGTTTGTTTTACGATAAAGAAGTATTGGGTTAAGATGAAACAGGAAGAATTAGATTTTTTTCCCCTGATTAGAGTCATATTTTATATAAAACTCTTTTCTGATGACTTGATCATTTTGACAGTAATGGGATTGAACCTTGGGTCTCAGTGCACGCAAAGCAAGCACCTTTCCACTGAGCTATGCCCTAAGCCACAACCACATTGTTTGTTGGAGGGCAGGGAAGAGAACAGGCATTGTTTTCAGAGGGCCGGGGCTCTTCAGTATTTCCTTCACGTAAGTCACTTTGACTTTAGTAACTCAGAGAGATGATGTCACTCCCTTTGATGAAGGCCTGCCCACTCCTAAGGAAACTACTGTGAGGACTTGCCAGCCCAGTGCGAATACTCTGCTTTCAGAAACAAGATGTGGATTGCTTTTTACTTGTCTGACATGGTTATGGTGTATAACAGGAAGCATTCACCCACCAGAGAAATGTGAACATTCGTCATTACCACTAGTACATAGTTCTTAGATATATTTAATGATTTTCCAGGTTTTAATTCCAACTAGAACTATAACTCTTTTATACATATGTTGCATTTTCAGATGATACTAGTAATTCATAAAACTATTGGCCCCCAAAGTAACTTTGATCTACAGTTTGACTTGCTACATATTCACTTGTTCAGACAAGTATTGTATGGGTTTGCACATGTGTTTGCAGGTATGGAAGACTTCCCTGGTGTAAAGATATTAGGAGGATGTTGGTTCTCTGTCCTACTCTGTTTTCTGCACTAATTGTTTCAAACAGGTGTCTTTGAACCTGGAGCTAGGCTGGCAGCCAGTGAGCCTTGGCAATCCTGTCTCTGCCCCCCAAAGCACTGGGGTTGCAGTCATGTGCTGGCTATTTAGGTGGAAGCTGGGGATTTGAACTCATGTCCTCGTGCTTGCACTGCAAGTGCTCTTACCCACAGCCATCTTCCTGGCCCCAAATATTTGCATTTTTAATACAATTTACTGTTTTGTGCTATTTTACAATAATTGTGTGTAGTTGCACTGGTATTCCCCATTCCCAGAGTTCTGTTAGTGGACATTTCAGATGTTTCACTCTTAGAGCAAATACTGCCATGAGGTCTTGTTTCTGTTTAGCATGTTGCTGACAAATTTTCAGTTGAAACAGCTTCAGGACGCCCCCGTAATTCTTTAGAGCTGCACTCACTGCTAGAGCCATTGACACATACTCCATATGTGCAGGTACTCCTATGTAGATACTCTCCTGTGCAGGTACTCCTCCTGTGCAGGTA